GGGTGCCGGGGGCCCTGTTGCCAGCCAGTCGGCCGACCCAGCAGCTCCCCAAGACAAAGCTCAGATCTGAGCAGTTCTCTTGGAGACACTCCCCTTCTGGCTGGAAAGCCCGTGGATGCCCCGCTGCTGCCAGACACCCTGGAAGGAAGCCCCTGTAGCCACGAGGCCTCTGGGTTGGGGAGCCACGGGCGTGCTTCCCATTTCTGTGGTGGCTGGGGTGATCCCCATGGCCCGGTCAGGCTTGGTTGGGCTAGTGAGAAGGGCAAACTGTCCTGTCCCCTGACCCTGGAGCCCCTGGCCCAGCCCAACCCCCAGAGGGAGAGCTCTCAGGAACCCCAGTGCCCCATCGTCTCTCTAGATGTGAGGGACCACCTGGCCTGGTGTCCCCACTCCAGAGGGCAGCACTGTGGCTGGTGACACAGGCCTGGCCTCTGCTGGGAGGTCCCTCCTGCCTGAGGCTCCTACACAGGAAGGTTCTGACAGAAGCTCGACCTCCCTGGGATGCAGACTGGACAGGAGGGAGCCAGGCCTGCTTCTGGGGCTCCTCGGGCTCCCGCCTAGACAGGCCCAAGTCTGGGTGTCTGGCCCCTTTCCTATGCCACAGTGGGGCAGGACAGGGGCTCCCTGCAGCTGACTGTGGCCTTGGGAGGGGGCCGTCCCACATGGGAGCATGGGGAGACAGCTCAGGGGAGGCTGTATGGTTTGGCTGCAGGGCCCCAGGGCCTGCCAGGTAAGCTGGGCCTGGCAGGTAGGGGCCTGGGAGCTTCACCAGGGCACCCCCAGGAGAGTGGTACCACCTCAGGCCCAGGCTGGGGCAGACAAGGCCTCCCAGACCCCAACCCGGGTTGGCAGGCTCAGCGGGCAGGGACTTCTGTGGGCCCCTGCCCTGCTCTGCCAGTGAGGCAAGGCCAGACGGGTGGCACCTGCATGCCTGCAGGTTTGCCTGTGGCCACTGTGCCTGGACAGAGGAGGCCCAGGGCCATCTCCCCAGTGCTGGGCCTGGAGACAGCAGGCCGGTGTCAGGTGGCCCAGCCTGATGGCCAGGCCTCCTGCAGATGCTGCAGGTACCTTCTCACACCTGTCTGGACAAGGCTGCCCTCCCAGGAAGGACAGACATGGGATGGGCCCACTTGCCCGGAGCTCCTCCCATCACCTCCCCAGGGCAGGCCACCTGCTGGGTGACACTGACTGAATGTGCCATCCCACTGCTCTGTTGAAGGGGCTGCAGTGACAGGAAGTGAATGACCTCATGGCGGGGACAGGCCCACAGGGGATGGGCAGGGGCTGGTCTCCAGGGTCCAGAGAAAGATGGGTGACTGGCCCTCACCACTGCCCCTGAAGCCCCCTCCAGCCTCAGGCCAACAGGCTCTGTCCCATCACTGAGGGCCAGGGAGACAGGCCCTCCTGGTGTCCATGACCTTGGCAGCCACTCCCTGTCCTGTGTGCGCCCCAGAGGCGCCCCAGCCTGAGCTCAGGAAACTTCGAGGCTCTCCCAACCTCCGAGCCCTCACGGCATTCCCAACCACAGGGGGGCTCCCCCTTGACACTGCCTCAGAGATAGGGGGAAGGGAACACCTAACCCCGGTGTCATGGCATGACTTTTGCGGATAAAGGAGCGGTGCCTACGGTTCCTCAGCCCGGAGACCCGAAGGGGCCTTCCAGTGAGAAGGGGGCCCAGGGGAGGGGTTTCGGGGTGCAGGTGTGAGGAGCAGTGTGAGGGGCGGGTGTGGTGTGCTTCGACAGTGGTGCAGGCCAAGAGAAGCGGGGTGCGGGCGCGGGAGCAGGGGGGATAAGAAATACAGCGGAGACGCACGTCTCTAAAATAGCTCTGTATACAAGGTCTCTCATCGACGTGCAGATTTCCCAGGAAACAATCCACGCTCTGGGTCCGCGAGGCCTGGCGCGCCTCAGTCGGGGTTCTGGTCCTTGTGCTGGTTCTGGTCCTCGCGTCACGAGGTCCACGGGCTGCCGCCCTGCCCGCCGCCGAGCGGCACGAAGGAGGCGCCCTGCAGGACCGAGGCGCAGAAGGAGCGGCAGCGCTTGCAGGGCCGGGGCGGTGGGAGCGATCCTCGGCACACCAGGCAGGGCGCTTGGAGGCCCCTCGGCAGCCCTGGGGAGAGAGAGGCCCTGAGACCCGCCCTCGCCCGACCGCACCCCAGGTCCCCGAACCTCGTCCGCAGTCCTTGAGGCCACACCCACTGGCCCGCAGACCGCCTCCTCTGCTCCCAGACCCGCCCACCGGCCTCGACGAGATCGTGCCGCGGGACCTCCGAGACCGCGCCCATCAGGTCAGCCCCGGGACTGCGCCCACCAACTAGAGGTACTGCCCACAAGGTCCAAAGACCTGCACGCATCAACCTGGTGAGCGAGACCCTGAGGCTTTGTCCCCTGGTCCCGAGGCACGCCCTAAAACCTAAGCCCTTGCTCGTGCTCCCGAGCCCACACCGTTGGCGCGGCGGCCACTCCCACCAGCCCTAAACACGCCCACCAGCCCTCTGAGCCACGCCCACCACGGAGCCCGCACCCTCTGGCCCAGGACCCCGCCCAACCCTCTGAGACCCCGCCCGAAGGTCTGGCCTTCGCTCCCACCAAGGGTGCTGAGCCCACTTTCTCCAGGACTGCCCACCAGCCCGAAGCTGTGCGAGACCAGGGTCTTGGGCCTCCTGGACTGGCCACTAGCACTTCCCCAGCCTGCTGACCCTGATACCCCCTCGGGCAGGCCCCGTCAGCTGCCCTCATCCCAGCTAGGCCAGAGCGGAGGGCAAAGTCCAGTCTGACCTCAACTACTCTGGAAGGGCCCCACGCAGCTTCCTGCCCAGGAGGTAGCGCTGTGGCCCTGGGTGAAGCCATCAGGATCGAGGCGTCCCCTTCTTTCCCTCAGCCCCTTGAGCCTGGCTCCCCTCCATCCCCCAGAGGCTGTGGGGGAGAGGGCCTGTCCCTGAGCTTGCTGTGGGAGCCTTGAGCAGGAGCCTGGTTGGGACCAGCAGAGGGAGAGCTCTGAGGGGCTGGGGACCCAGCTCTCCCTCCAGCTCCGCCCCTGTCCTCCTTGGGATGGGTGATGTCCACAGGCTGTGGGGCCAGGCTGTCCTGGGGGAAGCAGCCCAGCTGCAGCTGGGGCAGAGCTGGGACCTGGGGTGCCTGGACTCCACCCCACTGGGCCCGGGCCACACTGCACAGCCCAACGAGGGCTAGTGGCTGCAGGGGCTCCGAGGGGGCCGCAGTGCAGGGTTGGGGTCCTGGAGCCAGCCGGCAAGCCCAGGACCCATTGCGAGGCTGCTCTGCCTGTCAGAACTGTCCGCTGTGGGCACTCCATGTCCCTGGAGTCCAGTAGAGTCTGGGCTGAGCGGGGCTCCCAGGGCCTGTCCATGGCACCAGAGGTGGGCGTGGCCTGGAGGCTCCTGGTGGAGCTATAAGCCCCAGAGCCTCCAACCCAAGTGGCCAGGACGTGGTCAGACCTTGTCCAGGACCTTGTGGACTGAAATGACCCAGAAGCTGCTGGAGGGGGCCGGCCCCAGGTCAGGCACCCAGTACGGTCTCCAGGGGCCAGCAGACAGCTGGATCTGTCCCCTCTCCTATGTGGGCTCTGAGACAGAGGAGCATAGGCCGGCACTGGACTCTGCCAGGCTGGCCAATAGGTAGGTGTGGACGTGTGTCCTTTCAGGGGGCCCTCCTCCTTGAGAGGTTTGGCAGCCTGGGTCTCCCGCCAGTGCTCAGGCGGAGAGGAAACACAGCTGCAGCTGTGCAAGGTGTAGGGTAGAAGTGGGCCAGGCCCAGGTGGGGTCTGGACGGGGTAAGCCCCAGCATCCGTGCAAAACAGGGCCCAGCCTCCTGCATGCATGGCCATTCCTGGAGCTGGTGCACGGCAGAGTGGGAGCCAAGGCTCTCCGGAGGGGTTGGGCCAGCCTGGCCAGTGCCCAGCCAAGGCCCAGCTGGCACCAGCAGGGTATGAGAGCAGGAAGCACAAGACAGGGACAGTTGTTGCCTCCACGGGCCTCGTGCCCTCAGCTCCTGCAGGCTGGGCAGACGGGGGGTGGGGGGCTCCTGCCGGGGCCCAAGGAAGTGGCTGTCCACGAGGCACTCAGGGCCTAAGCAGGGCCTGGAACCCGCAGATCCGCATGGAGGCCAGGCAGTTCTGAGCCTAGTAGGAAGGGACGGGGCTGAGGGGAGGGTGCTCAGGTGGGGCTGTGAGAAAGCAGGCTGCCCCGCAGCTGCAGCTGAAAGGAGGCATTTTTTCTTTAGGTCTGTGCCACAGGGTGCATGTACTTATCAGAGAGAAATCGCCCCCAGGGTGATGGTCACTCCAGTTCCTTCTCCTCCATTCCCCTCTCAGGATTACGGGCACACGTGCACACATGGCCAGCATGATTTTCAAGCTTCCAGATCTGGGACTCAGACTGTGGCAGACCATGTGCGTTCAGCACCTGAATCACCTGGAAGGAAAGTGCTTTGGGCTGCGTGCAGACTACTGGTGTCCGGGCCAGTCCTCATGGAGCCAGATCCTGGCTACCGCAGCAAATGCAAGGCCAGACCATATGTGCACGCCCCAAATCCTATGGGCTGGGAGAATGTAGGACCCCACCCCAGTAAGTCAGGAACCCCCAGGAGCTACATCCTCAGCGCAAGGTGACCAAGCACTTTCTGGCCTGGCCTGTCCCAGCAGGACTGAGGGGACGTGCCTGATGTTGAGAAGCCCAGAGAAGGAACCCCATCCCAGCCACAGGGCACAGGCAGTGGGCTCTCCTCACGGTAACGGGGCTGGAGGGGAAGGCGCCGGGTCAGTCCTGGGTTTGAACATGCCAGGTGCACCATGGCTGGACAGAGGATGGAGCTGGCTGCTGTGTGGCAAGTCCCTGCCAAGAGCCCTCCACTCTCTCTCAAGAAATAGACTTAAAAATGGCATCCGGTGAGCTCACACTGGCAGGGGCTGGGGCTCTGCGTCTCAGAGCCGCGGGGGGTGGGGGGGAGGAAGCGCGGCTCTCTCACTGCAGATGGGTACGCTGGGCAAGCTGGTCTCTTACCCCTGGGTGGGGGCACCTCCCAGAGCACTGGGCCACGAAGTTGGTGCCACCCGAAGTGTCCTTCCACGCGGTCCAGGAGGCCGAGCCCGCACTGTTCAGGGACGCGCCGGGGTTCTGAGAGGAGAGGAGCTCCCGGGAGCCCACCACTTCCCTCGCACAGAAAACGAGCAGCTCACAGAACATGCACGAGTGCCAGTGGGGACAGCAGACACCAGGGCCTGGCCGGGATCCCGTCCCGACTCGGCGGGCGCCTCCCACACCCAAGGCTACTGCTGGAGGCCCGAAGCTCACAGGTTGAGATTGGGTTGGGACAGGAGGGGGTGGTTCAGTCCGGCCATGGTGTTGGAAGGCAGGCCTTTGGGAGGGCAGGGCTGAGGTCGGCAGGGCTGCCCTGACTGAGTCCCGGGCGGTTGTAAGGAGAGGAAGACCAGAGTGGAGACTCGCATGCCGGGCACTTGTGCCTTCCCCCTCCAGGCTGTCACGAGCCAGTGACCCTCGGCCGACTTGGGCCCCGACCTCAGGCCTCCAGACCATCAGTCAGGGGAACCTCTATTCCCGCAACTGACCCACAGGCAGGTGTTTTCTGATGTTAGCAGCAGAGCAGACGAGAGCTCAGAATACAACTGCAATTTCATACACAATTCGGAAACTACAGGCCAGGAACGGAAACTACGAAGAATGACCACTTATAAAAAAGTAGAACTTGGGGTATGAGCAAAAGTTTTTTGATATGTAAAGTAAACGTTTGTGGAAAAATGTAAAAATAAATAAGTGGAAAAAAGAAATCAAAAGGTAGAATTTCTGGGTCGTCAGGTGGCATAGTGGCTAAGGCTCTGGACTTCCACGTGGTCTACCTCAGTTAGAGTCCTGGGCCTGGCGACTAACTTTCTCACTTTCCCTTTCTCTCTCTTTCTGTCTCTCTCTGGTCAAACTGAAAACAAAACAAAAAACTAAAATAAATAAATTCATAAATAATTCCTTAAAATAAGTAGAACTTCTAAAAAATGAAAACTATAGCCACCGAAATTAAAGTAGCAATGGTTAACAGCACACCGGCCACGACAAAGAGGAATGCACTGGAGAGGGCAAGGGGACATTTCAGGGGCAGCTCCTGGAACCAGAGCTCAGGAGACACAGAGCCAGAAGGGGCAGTGAGCGTCAGGCTGGAGGGCAGGAGGCAGGGAAGGGCATCTGGAGAGAGCAGGCGGGAGAGTCTGGGGCTGGTAAGGAGCTCGGAGCAGCCCAGAGCCGCAGGCCTTCTCAGCCAGCAAGTTAACCGGACCCACCCGGACAGCACTGGGAGGCCCTGGCGTCTCTAGGAGTACGGAGAAGCTGAGATGCCTTGGAGGCACTGAGCGAGCATGGCTGTCACCTGCAGGGGCCTGTGCCTGCTGGGAACATGGGTGAGAAGCACATCAGGACCGAAGCCTCCTCGGAGAGTGCCAGCGCCAGCACCCCCTAAGGGACCCAGTCCTGGCTAGAACAGAGGTGACCCGAACGGAGCCTGACATGTGTGAAGGGGTGAAGGACAGAGGGGGTGCATGTGGAGTCCGGAAGCCCCAGTGCAGTGGGCCCGGGGGGCGGCTGCGAGACTTCAGAGAGAGCAGTGGCTCCGCTGTCAGGCTGGAGGTCCATCGCGCTGTCGGGTGGGGTAGGGTATGTGTCCTCACCAGACTCTAAGCTCAGCAGGCAGGGGGTTTCTGGCAGCCACCAGGAGACCAGAAGCAGAGCGGGGAAGAGAGGGTGGACCCAGAATAAGGCGAGAAAAGGGAATGCGGGCGGGTGGGACGAAGTGAAGCTGGACGGCAGACACGGCGGACATCGGGCTGGGACGCCCGTGACCTGCCGGCAGACTCTCAGGTGCGGCAAGTAGTGGCAGGTGACACCCTAGGGTGCTCTGCTGGGCTTTCTTGAATCCTCCCTCTGGGGAAGCCTGCCACTACTCCATGAGGACACTCAGGCGTCCTGAGGAGAGGCCCGTGTGGTGAGAGATTGAGGCCCAGGACAGCCACGAGAAGGCACCATGAGGGAACTGGCCCCTGGCTCCCACCGAGCCTTCGGGTGAGGCCCCTTCAGGCAGCACCCGCTGGAA